AAAAAAAAAAAAAAAAAGTCCCTCTGTGGTGCTGAGTGTGTGCCAGGCCCTACTGTGAAGTGTTTTACACATACCCACCCCTCCTCTGTGGGGTGGGTGCTATTGTTTTCATTAGGTTTGGCGTCTAGAGGCTAAGTCCTTTGCCCGAGGTCAGACGACTAGTAAGTGGTGGGGCCTGTATTTAACGTGGGTAACTTGACTTCAGAATCTGTGGGCAGAGGAACAACATCCTGGTGTTTAGGGTGATTTTGGTGGCCTCTCCTAGGCATTTCCTTCTTTTTTTAAAAAGAATCATTTGTTCAAATTTATTTATTATCATTATATGATATTTTAAGAATAATTTTATTTATTACTATTATTATTATTATTATTATTATTATTATTATTTAATTTGACCAGAAAGAGAGAAAGAGAGAGAGAGAAAGCAAGCAGCCAGGTCTGGTACTTGAACTGTAATTGGCCATGTGGGAGTCCAGCACTTTAATCAACATGCCACCTGCCAGCCCCATTATTATTATCCTTTAATTTGCTATAAGGCATATGCACTCACAAAAGAGAGACAGAGAGAGAGAAAGAGAGATTGAAAGTGAGAAACCTAGCCACCAGTTCCAGGACTCAACCACAGTCAGCCACGTGGGAGTCGAGCACCTTCACCACCACGCCACCTGCTGGCCCCTCTCCTAAACTGTTCCGTTGGAGTTTGGGGAGTGAAGGGCTCTGTGGCCACACCAGCCCTGGGCTCTGTTGGCTCCGCCCTCCTGCTTGGGAGGACAGTGTGGTGGTTCCGATTTCTGCCCCCTTGTTCTGGGAGAAATGTAAACCAGTGTTCTCTCTGATTTCACAGAAAAAGCCACAGACGGCTCCCTGCAGAGTGAGGACTGGACGCTGAACATGGAGGTCTGCGACATCATCAATGAGACGGAGGAAGGGTATGTGGCGCCTTCACCCCTGTGGGGTCCCGCTCAGCTCCCGTGGGCGGAGGGGCCATCCCAGACCCTGTCAGGCTCAGTGCTAGCCAGTTCGACTGTTTGTTCTGCTTGCAGCCGGTTCGCTCTGGCATTTAATAAGCTGACACTCTTAATGATTTGTCCTTTTCCGTTCATCCCTCCCTCCTCTTTGCCAAGGGCAGTGCTGGAGTTAGAGCAGTGATGGTCTCTTTTAATCACAAGTGGAAATGAAGCTGCTTGGTGACTTAGTCCCCAGTGGCCATTACTCTCTGCAGCTACATTGTCACCTCCTCCCTGGTCCCTGCCTCTCCTCTGCAGATGTGGGGCTGTGCCTGCCCTGGTTTATTGGACATGAGCCCAGGAGTCAGCGAGTGTCCATGGAGGGAGGCCCAGGGCATGGGTCAGGCAAGGCAGGGAGTGAGAGGGGGACACGCACACACCGAGCGGCCTCGTGCTTCGGGCATGGCTGGACTGAGCCCGCACTGCTCCTGCACTCCCGGCTCTGACCTTGCTGCTGTTGCCGGCCGTGTCCCTGTGTATTCTGGAGCCACACTCTGTGTGTCTTCCACGTCGGGCTGTATTCAGCCCTCTGTCCCCATGAGCACCTGCTGCGCTGTCACCATGGCCTCTTAAACCAGCTCTAGAGTAACAAGGCAAGCACTGGGCTCAGGCAGGCCTGGGCTTGCATCTCGTGCTGTCACCTCTCGCCATTATGGACTGTGGATTGGCCTCAGCCTGGCCCTGGTTTCATTCAACAGGTATCGACCGAATGGCTACCTTGTGTCGGGCCCTGCTGTACATACTGAGGTCACAGCAGTGAGCAGGACAGACTCCTTCCCCTGGGGTAGTTGCCAGTTCAGAGAGAGGAGGCAGGCCACCACACTGAAATTAAAACATATCCCTAATCAGGTGGGAAGACTAAGGATGGGAGATGGGGCGAGAGGGGCCAGGAATTGTCCTTTTATTTATTTATTTATTTATTTATTTATTTATTTATTGAGAGGC